GAAGTTACCCAGGGCCCAGAATAGTGGCTCAGAGGTTTTGCCTGGGAAAACGAACTCTAAAAGAACAGAGAGGTCTGAAATTCTTCCTAAATGAACTGACTGTATTGCAACACAGAGTGGGGAAGATCAAGCCCAAGCAAATGACACCAGATCATAAGGTAGTAAATATATATATTTACTCTTTTAATTTTTATAAAAGGCATAGACTTAGGTAATAATTACAATTTGTATAATGTTTTATAGGCTTTAATATATGTAGATATGTATACTAACAATAGCATATCAGAAGAAATAGAGCTCTTAAAAATGTTTGTTTTTTTTTTTTTGCTACTGAAGATTGAACTCAGGACCTTGTGCTTGCCAGGCAGGTGGAAGAACCACTGAGCCAAATCCCCAGCCCTAAAGAGTAATGTTTCTACATCTCACTGGAATTAAGCTAGTATCTTTCTAAATTCAGTTATGATATGTGAAGTTATATATAGAAAATCTTATAGCAATCACTAGGATAACTATAAAACAGATCATGAAAGATATATTAAAGGATATAAATTTTACACTTATAAGTAATCACTTAATGCCAAACAAGTAGATAAAGACAGACTAGAAGAGCAAAATAGTAACAAAGCATATAGGAAACCAAAAGGAAAATGGTAGATGTAATACAACTATATCAATTATTAACATTAAATTTGCTGGGTTGTGTAATCCAATCAAACGACATAGATTGTGAGACCAAGATTTTTAGAAATTGAGATTCATGTTTATACTATCTGTGGGAGACAAACTTTAGATTCAAAGATACAAACAAGTTGAAAGTAGAAAGATAAGATTGTGCAAACAAGGCTGGAGATGTAGCTTGCCTAGAATGCATAAGGCCCTGGGTTTAATCACCAAAATAAATTTTATAAAAATCATGCAAAAAAAATCATGCAAATATTTAGTAAACAACATCAGACTTTAAAAAACAAAATAGACTTTAAACAACAAAAAAAGTTGCTAGAATTAAAGGGGATTTTTATAATGATGTATAAACCAGTAGATGTAACAATTATAAACATATATACACCTTACAAGACTTAAAAAATACACAAAGCAAGAGTTAATGGAATCAAAGGGAGCAAAAGACATGTCAACAATTGATTGAAATTGCAATGTACTGCTTATAATAATGGATAAAAGATGCAGAAAATCATAAAGTAAATGATCAAAGAATTCCACACACAAGACCTCCATTTTAAGTCTACAAAATATTGATAGGATATTTTTAGAAAAACATTTAAATGGAAAGGAATACAATATTTAAGGATTGGAAGACTCAATTTTTAAACAATGTTTATCATATATAAATATATAAATATATAGAGAGAGCAATCTAAAAGCCTGGCATATCTTTTACAGAAATTGATAGATTTTAAAATTTATATGGAAATGCTAAGGACTCAAGATAATTTAAAAACACTTGGGAAAGAGGAAAAAAGTTGGAGTATTTCTCTACCTGATTTCAAGAGGTGCTGTAAAACATTAACTATGGTAGTGTGATAAAAAGATTAATAAACCTATAATAAGAAAATAGAAAGTCTAGAAATATTCCCACATATGTATGCCAACCATAAAAACAATAAAGAAAAGAAACTCTTCTAAAAAGTAATCATGGAATAATGGACCTTAATCTCCACCTCATGCTCTAATCAAAAATTACCTTGGCATGAATGATTGACCTAAAAAATGAAAGCTAAAAGTTAGAAAGCTTCTAGAGGACAACAAAGAATAACATTTTCATGACTAGAAGGTTGACAGTGATTACTTAGCAATCAAAAGAAAATGACAAAGGAAAAATGATTAATTGTCCTTGAAGTAAATTAAATTTCTGATCATCAAAAGCTATCATTGAAAAAGATCACATGCTCTAAATATTTATATCTACTTATGATATAGGACCACTACCTAAACTGTGTTTTAAAATATTTACAACTACATAGCAAAAAGTTAAATTACCCAACAAAAAAATAATCCGTCTTGAATAAGAACATCACAAAGAAAGACATCTGAATAGCCAATAAGCATATGAAAGAGTTCAATTGTCAATTGAACCAGAGAAATTTTAAAATCCTAGGAAGATAGTGTAACTAGAAGAACTAACACTTTTAGTTCACCAATATTGGTGATGGATTCAGCAGCCAGAACTCTCATAACTTACTGATAAGGATGTAAAATATATAGGCCCTATCAAGACTATAGTGGAAAAATTAGATACATTTCATAGCAAAAAAAAAAAAAGACAAGCCAGGTGACTCATAGTTGTAAATACCAGTACTTTGGGAGGCTGAAGTGGGAGGATTGTAAGTTTCAGCCTAGCCTAAATTGCTAAATTTAGCAGTTTAACAAGACGCTATCTCTCAAAAAAAAAAAAAAAAAAAAAATTTTTTTTTTTTTTTGGTACCAGGAATTGAACTCTGGTCTTTGCACTTACAAGACAGGCCACCAAACCACTGAGCTAAATCCCCAGCCCCCAAAAAAATTTTTTAAAGGGCTAGAGATTAGGAATGTAGCTCAGTGTGATGGCCCAGAGTTCAATTACCAGTGCTGTAAAAAATAAAACAAAACAGAAAATCTACTTTTTCACATAGTTTCCACAGTATATATTATAGAAAAGACTGGAATACTTTGTAATATAGGGATGTTAAGTAAAAGGTCTGCTATGTCCTTATAATGACTTGATGATATTTTAAAGGCAAGGAAAGTTATTTTTAATATGACACTATATGGAAAACATAAATATGATACTTTGTTGGGTTAAAAATAATAATGAAAGGAAGAAAGTCAACCCAAACTATGATGAAATTAAGTAATTTTTAAAAATCCTCTCTTTTGCTTCTATATTTGTAGGTTTCTACAGGGACAAAGAATTACTGCTATACTCAGAAAAAAACATGCATTTTAAATATTGGTTGTTTTGAACAATTATATAATACTAAATGATGATTAATGTAAAATAGTATAAGATTTTGACACATTTTAAATTATCACATGGAAATAGTTTTGCTGTAATTATTAAGTGTGTCAAACAGAAAAGTAGATGAATTCAGAATAAGCTAGGAAAATAACCATTTCAACTGACATTACAGAAATAGACGATACGGTATTTTCTAGATAAATGAAGCTTAGCTCTTTCACTACAAAATTTTATTTTAAATTTTTGATGAAACTCTAACATATACTTTGCCTTTTCTTTCCTATTAAATATATTATAGTGATCACATATAAGCTCTCCTACCTCTTAGTTGTATAATCTTGGGGAGTTTATGTAATAGCCTCTACCTCTGTTTTCTAATTTATACAATAGGTATAATAATATGACTTTTCTCGTAGCATTGTTAGATGTGAAAAATGATTACTGTTATAGCAGAGAACATAGGAAACATTAGGCATTCTATAATTTGATAAACTGACTTAATAGTTATGCTGTCAAAGTCTTCATGAGATCTGTGTATTTTTACTCTTTCATTAAACAGTCCAAGGTCACTCAATAGTCATAAAATAAGTTCTTTCTACCTATTCCTATTTAGCTTTCCAAGTTACTTTTCTTAATGTTTCTAGTTCAAATGTCTCATCTTTATAACTTTCTGTTTCTAATTTGTTGTTTCTCACTTGCTGTTCTCTTTGCAGATAACAAAGTCTGTCAGTAAACTTTCAGGGACTGCCTATGTTGTTTCTGTTGCATCTCTATAGATTAATATGTGATGCTTATTTAGTTACAATTTTTCCCATCCAATTTATATGTCTGGAGTAAAATATATGTTACAGATAGTTTAGATTGATGAATGTGTACTTCCAGATTCACAGTAATAGATATCAGTGAATTATAAGTGTATCATGATTATAAATGGAAATTTAATGGTTGGATGAGCATTAAGAGTTTTGAAATTTTTCAGTGAAGTAAAAAGTAGAGCAAACAATATGCCTAAAATGGTACAAAAAGTTTTATGAAAAACTGAAATATTCAGGCAGAATAATGTAGCATACAAAGCTGTACATATATATGCTACATGTTTCAATCAATGACAGACTACATATGCTATGATGGTCCTAGAAGATTTTAAGGAGGTGTAAAGTTTTTTTTCACCTCATATTTTTACTGCACCTTTTCTGTGTTTAGATACATAAGACCTATCACTGTGTCACAATTGCTTCTAATACAGCAATGTATGGGAAAGGTTTGTAGCCCAGAGCAACACTCTGTACAGCCTGGTGTTTAGGAGGCTATACCATCCAGGTTTGTGTAAGTACATGTGTTGCTTACAGACAGTGGCAGTTATAAAATGTGTATCAATCTGTTGGAATTACTCTTGAATTTGTCAGGAAAGTGATGGCATAGAAAGATAAACTGTGTGGTGATACAAGCACAATAGAGAAAGCCATAAGAAACAAGAAGCTAAAAAGAATGTCTGTTTTTTTTGAACCGGGAATTGAACTTGGGTCCTTGTGCTTGCCAGGCAGGAGGTGGAACCACTGAGCTAAATCCCCGGCCCCAAGAATGTCTTTTTGATTTATTTATACACACAAATTGTAGAATAGGAAGTAATTAGAAATATTTTGTAATTAAAATAAATGTCCTTTTTATAAGAAAATTTTATACGATTGAACAAAACAAGTATGTAATACTGTACTTTTTAAATATAAAATTTAAAATTTCTAGCACTTCTTTTTAATAGTTTTGGTCCTGGGAATCAAACTCAGGACCTTGTGTTCACCAGGAAGGCACAGCACCACTGAGCCTACTACATTTCTGGCCCTCTTGAAAGGTCTTTTAAAAGCCAATAACTTTTTATCCTGAAATAGAGGGTTTATTGTATCCCCTTATATTTCTCATTTGTCTTAATCTATTTTCTGATGAAATTAGATCATTTCTTAAAGTAGCTAATTCATTTGAAAATAATAAAGTGCTTTTACATCTTTCTACCATCATGTTTAATTACCTGTTTTATGTCGTATGCTTTTAGGTTTGACTGAACTGAATGACAGTCCAGTTCCCCTGGAACTTGAGCGCTGTAAATCTCCCACCTCAGGTAAACATAAGTGGTATTTTTCAAGCTTCTGGTAATTCACTGCTGTCATTATCGCTTTATTATTATAATTTTTATGATAAGAAATTCATAGTTTTAGAAATTATATTTTAGTTTGTGAAATTTAACAATAAATCTGATTCCAGAAATGGGTAGAAATACAGTGATATTTCGGTTGTTGAACTCAATTCATTACAAATTCATGTTTGAACATGAAAAAGTTCAAGTAATGAATACATTTTTCCCATACTAAATAATGGAAAACCAAATAATTGGTTCTAAGCCCAAAAATTACATTTAAAATTCATTTTTCCAGGATTTAAATTCACAGATTTCTTTCTTTAACTGTATCGTGGTTCTCCATTTCCCTCTTAGCTTTATCTGGTATCACTAACTTCTTTGGAGCCATGGTTACGATGTTTTGTACAAGTAAAGCACTGAAAGAAAAAAGGCAAAGAATGAATGTTACACACTAATACAAGCACTAAACATATGTTGTGTGAGCTAGAGCAGCACTAAAGCCTCACTCCTTTGTTTGCCTGGTGAGATGCAGCACGTATTTCACTTACTCTCCACCCATACAGGTTTATTCAAATCAGATGTTTGGTTCAACTGTGGAGCAAAGTTACAAACACTGGGCAGATGTTTTCACACTTTGCTGTTTGAATAGTGGAAAGTTTGAGCTTGGAGCCATTTAACAACTGAGGTTGCTATAAATGCTTTTGAAAATATTTTTGTCCCAAAATAAAATTAAAATCAGAAGTCTGAGTGCAACACTGTTAAAGACTTTTTTTTAAAAAAAACGTTATTTTGTAGAAAAATTAATACCTAATAAGTAGCAAATAAAATGGGTAATATTATACAGAAACTTTGTCATCTTGGGACTAGAGCTGAATTAGTAGGAAATATATAATATAGATACAGACGCTAATGTTACCATTCCTTTGGACCACCATTTTGAAATATTCATTTTGATTGACAAAGAAGAAACAATATATGGTATACAATTAAACATCAAGGCAAAGTATAGACCCCTTAAAATATACTTATAAATGAAGGAAAAGATTCCTAAGGATATCTTTAAAGTGTGAAAAAAAAGAGTTAATAAAAATCTTTCAGTAGTGGGATGGATTTGTGCTTACTTTTAAAATATTTGTCTCATTAGTCTGATTTTTTTCTATAATTATAGGAGTATATAAAATTTTAAGCATCAAATGTATTAAGTATATCTGTGACACTAAATAGTACATCTGTTTTATAGGGCAACAAAAGATTATAATTCCTTTTTATTTAATTAATGTTTGTTTAAAACACAAATTTATAAAAAAATTAATGTCTTTGTAAACATAAATTAAGACTTCTAAAAATTAATTCAGAATTAGAACATCTTTTCAATTTACTATATCCTTAAAAGTTATTCATTCCTTATTTTTCAGGAAACTAGGCTATGTAGAACCTAGTTATGTCCTGTGTAAATGCTTCCTTTAACCATATTTTAGTCGTTGTTTTATTTTTATACTAAAAACGGCCTTATACATTTGCTCTTCCTTTTGCATTCTCATTGGCACCATCTTAATTTTAAAAACTATCAACTCATACCAAGAGTATCATAGAAATATTCTAACAGATATCCTTGCTTTCCAACTCCCTTTTACAATCTATTTTGCCTATCATGTTGCAAAATCAGTTTTCTTAAAATATTAATATTTTCTCAGAAATCTTTAAAATATAATATATCCTATACCACATTTATATAATTTCACCTAAATTCTCATCTATAATCTGAATTTAAATAATAATACATTTGCATAAACATAAAAAATTGAATAGAACTGTCTTTCCAATCATGCCCCTACACAGTATTCCTCCTGAAAAATAATACTATTATTAGTTTCTTATTTATCTTGCTAAGAAATTTGTATTTGTAAAAAAACTGAGAAAATATTTTATTTAGCTTCTTGTTTTATGCACTTTTCTATAGTGTGCTTGTTTCAATTTTACAATGCAACTTGTCTTTCAGATTTATTACATTAACCACTTCTACATTCTTTTTATAGTTATATAATGTTGAATTGCATGTATGCACTGTAATTTCATCAGTTCACCTGTTAATAGGCATTTAGTTTGCTACATGTCTTCTGCTATATAAAAATAATGGTGCATTGACCAACTTTGGCGCATCCATTTTATATATATACAAGTACCTATATGAGATAAATTCTGAACGTTAGAGTTGTTGCTTCAAAGCAATATGCCTGTGTAATTTTTATAGATACTTCCAAATTTCTGTCCTTAAGATTTGAAACATTTTTCTCCTAGCAACATTAGTTATCATTTTTAAAAAGTTTTGCACATCTTAATATGTACAAAGGGTGGTCAGTATTACTAAACTTTACCTTTTCACATACTACAAGTGATGTTGAACATCTTTTCATATGTTTAAGAACTATTGAAATCTTTTTTTATGTAAGCCACCCATGCTTTACTTTGTCCATTTTCTGTGGAATTATTTGTCCTTTTTAATATCAATTTTTCTGTCTTTTCATAAATTAAGGACTTTATCTCATTGTGACATGTGATCTGAACATTTTTCTTAATTTAACCTTTAACTCTGTGACATCTCCTTGAGAAGTTTTTGTAACCAGACATTGATCTTTTCATTTAAGGTACTTTATGTCCAACAGTTTGAATACTATTGGGATTATTTATCATTTAGGTAGCATTCCTCAATTAAGTCATTTATCCCTTATAATGTTATTTTATACTGCTGCTTTCTCACTAAAGAAAAATAGTTTCATTATAGAAATTTTGCAAACAGATACAAAAGCTGAGATTCTCTTTTTCTTTAATTGGGCTGATAGTTGATGTATTTTAATTATTATGTACTTCAAACAATAGGCTTTCTTTTATTTTAAAGTATTAATTTTAGTTTTTATCTGTATTAGTTACTTCTGCTTTCATTTAGTATATTTTATTTTTATTTTTCAACTTTGTGGCATTTGTTTAATCTTTTTATGCTTCCTCTTTGTTACATGTTAAGATAAGAATTCACTGCTAAATTTCCCTTGGAACTCACTATGTATCACGTAGTCTTTCATAAATTATGACTTTATTAACATTATTCTATGTTAGACAATTTATATTTTTTGGAACAAGAGTTATTTAAAATGAATTTGTAGCATTAAGTAGCAGTAAGTGTTACTCTATTAAGACTTTCATGTCATTAAGTATACTCTACTTGGCCTGTCACAAACAGATAATAGGTGAGTTAAAATATTGTACTACTTATATGTTTCTCCATTGTCTTTGTTATCTACTGTGTTATCTTTTATGATAGTATTGTTATCTTATTTTTATATCAATATTTGAAATTATATTTACATTTTAAGAAACAACTGTTATTGCTTATTTAATATTATAAGTTCTTTACTTCCTTTTCACCTTATTCACTATTACTAGCACAACTCTTGTTTCTCTAATTTAGAATATTCTGGAATACTTTGGACCTACCTTTTTTTGGTAAACATTTTTTATTGAGGTATAATATACAAACCTCAAAGTATATACATCTTAAGCATTCAGCTAGATTAGTTTAACAGGTGAACATACCATAAAATAATACAAGATAGAAATTAAAAACCTCCCTCATATAGCTCTCAGCCACTACCTTCCACAAAGGCACCTATTATCACACTTTATTGGTTTTGGGAATTCATTACTATAAGCTAGTATCATGGGATTTGTATGAAGGAAATCATATAGTATTTATTTTTGTTGTTTCTTCTTTCACTCAACATTGTATATATTATATATACATGTGTTTGTGTGTGTGTATATATATATAATATTTGCCTACATTGCTGTGTGATATTGTTATTTAATATTCCATTATGTGAATATACCTCAATTTATGCAATTTATTGTTGAACATTTTAAAAATTTGAGGGGGCTATTACAAATAAAGTTAATTTGACCATATTGTATATTTTTAATGCAAGTATGAACTTATTTTGCTTGTGCATATATATCTGGGAGTGGAATTTGGGGGACATAGGGCAGGCAGATTTTCTACTTTAGTAAATATGAACAGTGAATTTTGTAAAATGAGTTACACCTATTTTACTTCCAATTGCAGTGTTTCACAGTTCTCTTTTTCCCATATACTTGCCAGTGTTTAATATTGTGGTTCTTTTTTTCCTCATTGAGTTTATTGGTACACTTTTTGGTATATAGTACAGTTACATTCATCATTGGGAACTTGTACCTTTAAATGACAGATCTTGGTTCTCATTTTTCCCTTTGTCTCTGCCCTCCCTTCATCTCTAGGGTGTATATAGAAATGTTTCACTGTGGAATTAAGTTGATTTCATATTTTGCTGATGTCTAATGGTCATAGTGAATTTTCCACAGGTATTGCTATCAATATCCTCTTTTATATTTAACTCTTTTGCTTACACTGTAATTGAGGTACCAAAATTTTCTAATTTTTTTTTTAATCTATAGGAATCTCTGTATGTGTGTGCGCGTGTGTGTGTGTGTGTGTGTGTGTGTTGGATAAAAGTCTTTTGTTGGAGATTCTTTTAATCTAGTTCAATTTACCAATGTTTTTTATTTAGTGGCTTATATATTTTGTTTAGAGAGAATTGTTGTCCATCCCAAGATCATAAAGCTATATTTCTGTATTATCATATGGAAAGCTTATTGGTTTACTGCTCACATTTAAGTTAAATTTTCATTAGGAATTTATTTCTGTATATAATGTAAGGAAGGAGCCACAGCAATTGATAAGTATCATTTACAGGTAAATTACTATTTCCCTCACTGTACTAAAGTGGAAAATTTGTCATAAATTAGTGACATTTAGTATATACATGGTGTGTGTGTGTGTGTTCATGTATTTAATGACTATATGTTGCATTCCACTCACATGTTTATTATTATTTATTCAAACCATACTGTTTTAATATGGAACTTTATAAATTTAAAAAATTTTTTATCTGATT